TGAGTAAAGACCTTACTGTTAGTACTGTGATGGGAGACCTTTGGGAGCACCAGGTGCCAGCTGTTAAGTGTCAAACTGTCGTTGTTTCCTTAGGCAAGAATGAGTCTGGTGTGTCTGTGTGTATGAAAGGCCGGTGGTTGTTAGAGGGGCTAATGGCACATATTAGTTGCCTCACTTCAGTCAGTGTGCCCCAGGGCAGCTGTGGCCACAGTATTACTTTATCACCATTGTGTATGGAGTGAAAGAAAATGTACATGTGAAGCGTCTTTGAGTGTAAAGTACTATATAAAACCAATGCATTGTTATTATTACCCTGTTTAGGACACAACTGGAACAGTGTTAGTTCCAGTTGTACTCATGAAATTCTGATCATGTTTCTTAAGGCCATATAGTTACACAAATAAAACCTGGCTCCCTCAGTACACAGCCCCTCCCCGCTGCTTGCCGAGGTCAGCGCACAAGTTTAATTGATTTCTTCTTTGTGTTTTTTTTCTTTTTCTTTGCACGCTCTCTCCATGTGAACTGCTAATTGTGCGTCCCCGGTGGGCACTTGGGGAGAGGCGCAGAGACGTGTCCCAGCGCTCCTCTGGGACAGACCCCCCTCTCACTACAGCAGAGCGGAGCGGAGCCCAATCCAGGCGTCTTCACCATCTGGACGCCACGTTAACTAATGCATCAGAGGCACGTGTGCGCATACGGCTTCAGCCTCACGCTACGGAAGACGAAGTGTGACGCGCTATTGGGAAAGAAAAAAGTTTATTGATGATTAAAATGGCGCATCTGCCTTTGTCAAGCAATAATTATCCATCCATCTATTTACTTCCGATATATCTGTGGCAGCAATCTGAGCAGAGACGCCCAGACTTCTCAAACACTTCTTTCAGCTCATCCGAGGGAATCCTGAGGAGTTCCGAGGCCGGCTGAGAGACACGGTTCCTCCAGCGTGCACTGGGTCTTCCCCTGTTCATGTAGACCGCTTGTATCTGTGACCTCGTCCTTTTGGTCATTTCTCAAAGATTATGACCAGAGGTGAAGGAAGGGACAGAGACTGAGCGGTAAATCAAGAGCTTTGACTGCAGACGTTGTTCCGTTCCTCCATCCTTCCCTCATTTGTGAACAAGACCAAAGAGACTTGAACTCCTGAGGAAGGACCTCTGCTTCTGGAGAGGACGAGGACCTGTCGACGGTCAACCTCCACTGACAATAAATATTTAACCCTGACCCTAAACCTAACCCTACAAGGAGAAATTTGACCATCAGTAGCTGTTACAGACAAAAGACATAATATACATATATGGTTCAGTATCAAACACTTCAAATTTAAGTTATTGTAAAGATAATCGACCCTATATTCGTCCCTTAGTGGGGAAGTTTTTGTACAAAATGACAGAGCAACTAAAGACATTCAAATCAAATCTGGAAAATCCCCCTCAGTAAATACTTCATTTTAATGAAATATTGTGGTCATGTGGTAAAAAATGTGTTCCTATGAGAACAAGTTACGGACATTAGCTTTAAGTCAGAATCCTGTGTAATGTAGTTCAGCAAACAGGTTCATTCCATTAAACAAAGCCCATTCTAAAATACTAACCTGAATTCAAATAACTTTAATTTCACTTTTCATTTTTTTTTACGAGTGAAAGCCGCTATTCACACTGTTAAATACAGTGATGATTCCCAAAGTATAGGGGTCAGGACCCTCCTGCCCCAGGCTGCCAACAACCACCACAAACACATGCGCACACACACGCACGCACACGCAGACAATGTGGGTGAAGTGTGATGCCTAAAGACTCCAAACATATGCAGTTTAGACACCGTCCCACTGTGCTCTGATCTGCCCTCTCAGCCGGGAGGAGATCAGAGATGCTGTAAATGAAGTCACATGAGATGATATCCCCGGGGCCTATAGTGATGGTCGCTCAGGAGAAGGGTTGAAGAGGTGGTCTGGTCGACAGGCGGTGGTGGGGAGGAGGCGGGTTGCTGCACGATATGAAAGCTTGACGCAGGGCGGTGCCTAAATTCTGCCAACTGAGTGTGACCGACTGATTGCTGATGCGGCACAGCAGCACGGGGAGGACTGAGAACAGTGAGCTTGTGCACACGTAGTTTCCATTCTGAACCCCCGCTTTAGATTTGTGTGTGTGTGTGTGTGTGTGTATCTGTGTGTATCTGCTCCATCTGCAGGTGTGACTCCGGTCTGAATTTGACATTTAAACACAGGAAACGTCTTCTGCTTTTACTAGTCTTCGGTGTTTGTTTGTTTCTGTTCTGTGTGATTCAGGTCTGAGACATCCTGGACATGGAGGTTCAGAATCTAGAGCCATGTTCCAGCTTCTTTTTATCGATGACATTGAGTCAGTCTTTTAAATCTTCTTTATTGTTGTCCTGGGTAGACAACAACCAGAGAGAGATCAGAGAGGGACCAGAGAGAGAGAGAGAGAGAGCTCAGAGAGAGACAAGAGAGATAAACCAGAGAGTCTATAGAGAGACCAGAGATAGACCAGCAAGAGAGGCCATTTAAATATGTAAATGACAAGGGAACACAACTAACACACGCTGTAAAAAGTCTGTCCTGCGTGTTACCCCTGGTTTTACAGTGACAACCTGAGAGCTGGGGGAGAACAGTCCGAGAGTCGTGTGAATCACCGGCTGCTCTCGCTCTCTCTGTTGTGGTCGCACCGCTAAAACTAAACGCCCAAACTTTATGTGAAGTGCTCGATACATTTCACTTTCATTTGTTGTAGACCAAACAGAAACCTCTCCACCCACCACCGCCCGGCTGCTCTGCGTTGGAGGAATTAGTGCAGATTCTCATTATCGAGGGCAGTTCTCGTAAAGGCTTTGAGTCCTGTGAGAACGTTTTGTGCCACAGAACGGAGACTGACATTGAGTCACTGGTTACTTGAGTAGATCATGCAGCCACCGTCATGAATGTAAAAAGTTAATTATGTATTATGTGTCTCGTCTTTTGGGTGTGTCTTCTCATCTTTAAGGCTCTTCTAATAAAGAAGCTATTTCTGCTTAATTACCACATGTTTGGGAGGTTTGTTTGGGAGACTTCTGCCTTGATTTGAGGAGACACTTGATGGTGTGACGTGTCTCTGATCAGGTGTGGTTACCGGATGCGGCCAGGGTCTGATCCGTCAGACTGGTGTTCCCACAGGTCTCCATCACACTACTAAGTAAGTTAGTGAGTAAGAGTCACAAAGCGCTTTACAATGGTTGTGGGCATTTGTCTCTCACTCCACACAGAGATTCGAGTGAGGTTGCCAACACACAAGGCGCATGCCAGACTTATTCTACATGTTACACAATTTCCCTTGTGGATCAATAAAGTCTGTCTAAGTCTACGTCTTTTTAGTGGTAAACTGGAGCACCCGGAGGAACCCTGCACAGACACTGGGAGAACATACAAACTCCACTCAGAAAGGCACTATTCCGACTTGGATTCAAACCCAGGACCTTCTTGGGTTACTCAGCCACTGTGCCACCCTAAACAGGCCCTGCCCTGCACATCGTCAGAGGTCTGATGGGATCTGGCTTTCAAATGCAAGTGTTACCCCGGGGCAGTCAGGGAGGAGAGGGAGAGTCAGGGAGGATGAGGAGGAGAGTGACTAACAGGGCTCTGTAAGTATGTTTTCTAAAAAGATGAAGACAGCATGTTGTTTGTAACCGACTCAAAGACCCCATCTCCTCCTCTTATCCCCCGTTATTCCTTGGTTTTACACGGATGAGTGGATCTGCTGCTGTGTTGGTCCATGAATATGATTAGAAAGCTGTTTGAAAGTCAGGTACCCCAGCTCCACCTTCAGCTTCCACCTCAAGATGTACTCCTCCTCCTCATTCCACTCTCCGCCTCCCTGACTCTTCTCCTCCTTCCTGACTCCCCTCCCTCCTCCTCCCTGACTGTCCCCCTCCTCCTCCCCCGGTGTCAGGGGCTAATGGCCTCATTAGTACGTCTCTTTAAACTCTGATCACTGAGAACTCTCACCTATTGCTCTGGAGAGACACATTCTGCTCTAGAAGACATACTGTGTTCTGCTGCGGAGCTGTAATCAGGCCTGAGACTGAGAACAGACCAACGGAAATTATAATTGGACTCGTTGGAATTAGCTTGTTTAAGGCTGTGGATAAAGCTGGGGAACCTAACTTTCAAACAGCTATGTAATCATATCCATGTCACCAGTGCCAACACAGCAGCAGATGCATTCATCCTTTTTAAACAGAGGAATAACGGAGGATAAGTGGAAGAGATGGGGGTCTTTGAGTCGGTTTTATGCAGTCTTCATAGAAAACATACACATACTTGTAACATAAAACTATATATTTCTTGCCCTAGAATACACAGTACTTTATACTTGCTTATTATTATGCAAAAGAGATTCTATACTGCTTCATGTAATGCTAGTGTAAGAGATTTTTATGTTATTTTATTTAGTTAGAGATATTGTTCATTTATCTCATTCTGTAACTAGTGATGCAACACTGAAATTTCCCCACTGTGGGACAAATAAAGGATCTCTTAATCTTGATCAATTACCTATGTTTTTAGTTTGGAAATTAGGTAACCCTGGCTTTAATCTTCAGAAGGCATATCAACTACTCAATTCTAAACTTGAAACCTGAGCGTTCATTTTGTCAGCTTTTTACGTATTCCTGCTTAGGTCCAGAAACATGTGTGGTGCTATATCTATCATTGAGATTTTTGTTATTGAAAAAGCTCTAACCAGCAACCCAAATGAGAGTCGAATTCTGCTCTCTGATTGGATAATCTTCTTGATCATGTCCATTTTTTTTTAAATTAAGAATAACTCCATGTTTAGCTGTGGTTCAGAAAACGTCAGATTTGATGTGTACGTGTGACCTGTTATCTGAGGACACATAAAAGATGGTGACGTCATTTTATTTTTAAATATAACATACTGTCCCTTTAAAGCAAAACTAAAGATGTTCTCGTGTTGAAAGCTTTTCTACTTTGTCACCATCCACCGCTACTATTACTCGACGACAAACTTTGGCGCCTCTCCCCACCTCTGCCTATCTCTCACTTTGTTCGCGGTCCCGGTCCGACAAAGCCCACCCCCCCCCAACCCCAATTCCGCAGCCGAAGAATCCTGGCATGACGCGCTGACCATGGCTTCTCCTCCGCTCACTGCTGGCATCTCGCGGCCCCCGTGCCAACAGCCCTCTCCCCGCGGTGTGCGCCTTACGATAGGCACGGGACGTCATCTTATCGAGCCATCCAGACCGAACCCTAGCCACCGGCTGCTCTGTGCTTGGCCCTGCTATAGCCTCTCTCCTTGTGCCTTTTTTTTTTACTCCAACCACCGCGGCGCAGCTAAAGGCGAGGGGGCTGGAGCGAGATGCCAAGGTACCGTCTTCCCCCCCGAGGCGAACTGGCCCCGCGGAGATGTAAAGCGCTTGGCACGACGCGTGGAGATGCAGGTCCAACCACGACGCGCCGATTCAGCTCGCGGGAGGGGATGGCGGTGATACGGGCTCCCTCCGAGGGCAGTTTGTGGCTGGTGTGGAATTGCGATGGATGAAAGAATGCTCCGGTTGGGGGGTGGACTGGTTGGGGCTGGGAAGGTTCCAAGATGAAGGCCTCCCGGAGAAGAAGAGATTTAAATGGGCCTTAGGTTTCGCCGGTTATCAGCGAGAGAGATGGGCAGAGAGTGGCAGTTTGAGGTTCGCAGGGGATGTGGGAAAGCCGGGAGAGAGTTTGATCAAAGGCCTCCGCAGAAAGACAAGTTCTTTAATCAAAAACACATTCATTATTTGGATTTGGCCAGTCTCATAGAAACTCATTTCAGTCTCTTAAATCATTTATATTGATGTCTCTCTCTGTTCAAAACAGGCTCAAAACAAATGTCCAACTTTCAAAATAACTCTTTTAAGGCACAGTGCACCTAGAACCAGCGAGAGACCAGAGAGAAACCATAGAAAAAACAAAAAAAAGAGAGAAAGATCAGAAAGAGACCAGAGAGACCAGTGTGATAGACCAGAAAGAGACCAGAGAGACCAGTGTGATAGACCAGAAAGAGACCAGAGAGAGAGAGAGAGATCAGCTAAAGGCCAGAGAGAGACCAGTGAGAGACCGAAACAGGAGATGTCTATCAGAGAGAGGCCGGAGAGAGAGAGAGACCAGTGAGACGGAGCAGAAAGAAATCAGAGAGAGAGGCTAGAGAGAAATGTTGAGATGTTTTCGCACACCAGCGCAGCCCCTGATGCTAAGTGTGTAAGGAAAGACCACCTTGATAATATTGCACAGTGGAATTGAGGTTACAGAAAACTTTCTAACAGACAAGTGCCATCTTTTTCTTATTTCATCACAGTGAAGTTTTCCCCCATTACAGCGGTTCAACACGGGCCGTTGTGACCTCGTTCAGCAACCTGCCAGAGGCGCCACCGTGATCATTACGCTTGTGTGATTTTGCTGAGCCCCGATCACGACAGAGAATCAATAATTTACAGACAACAACTCTGTTCACAGAAAAAGGTTCTGTGTAGACTGGGGCATAACAAAAACAAAAATCTCAATCTACTTAATTTCATAGCCTTGAAACCCTAACCCCTAGATTTTACCTATTGTTTATGTTTTTAGTGGTAGGGGAAACCGGAGCACCTGCAGGAAACCTACATTGACACGGGAGTAGCTCAACCAGAGTGTGTGTTCTTGGCGGTGTGAATTTTGTTCCCGACATAAACATCATTAGTGTCTGCGAACACCTGTGTATACGTGTTGTATCAGGTAGCGCTGTATAAATGTGACCATTTAACATTTACACAGGGAGAACAAGCAATCTTGAGAGAGTGCCACCTAGGCTTTTGAAAGAGTTTTGTAAAATGATAATGTTGTGAACAAATTGGATGCATACCTGTGAGTCACTATTTGGCGCTTTGAGCTGATTGGCTGAGTGAAACCAATTCTTACTTTTTAACCTTTCTGGGGGTGGTCCAGTTTGGGTCTTTCAGTAGTTGCATGTATTTTTGTTAAAGCTTTAGATTTAGCTTTTCAGACAGAAAAGTGAAGAGAGGACCACCTCACCCGGCCTCTCAATCCATCCATCCATCAAGTTTCTTCCACTTTATCCATAGCTGGGTTGCAAGGGCAGCAGTAGACCGAGCTTCCCAGACTTCCCCCTGTTTACACACTCTTCCTCCAGCTCATCCGGGGGAATACTGAGGTGTTTCAGATCTTCCGAAAATCTTCTCAAAATGTCAACAGCGCCTATTCTTTCTCCGTAAACTCTGCAAACTTCAGGTTCACAAATCCATTCTCTCTGCTTTTTATAAATGCTTTATTGAATCAATTCTCATTTTCAACATTACAGCTTGGTTTGGTTCACTCAGTCTCATACATCGGAACTCACTTAATAAGATTATTAAAATCAGCAGCAAAATCATTGGACAGCAGCGAGACTCACTCACAGACATCTACAATAGCAAAGTTTTAAGGAAAGGCTCAGATCTCCACAGACAGCTCCCACACTCTGCACTCACACTACAGTCTGCTCCCATCAGGGCATAGGTTCAGGTCCCTCCCATTCAAAACAAAAAGAGCCACATCCAGCGTCCTCCCCACCTCCATTTGCCTTTTAAACAGCTGATCCGAGACTTGTTTTATGTATTTTATATTGTATTTCTGCTCTTTTACTGTATTTATGCTTAGATCGTGTGCTTCTGTGTTTTTGTGCACCCCCACCGGTGCTTCGTCTGTAAATGAGACAGGCCTCCTCTCTGACAATGTTTAAGACAAGGTTAAAGACGGTTCTGTTTAGCTGTGCTACAACTGAGGGATTTTATATTTTTGTCTTTTTTTTTAATGTACTGTGATTATTTATGATTTTAATGCTTTCTTGTTCTGTTCAGCACTTTGAATTGCCTTGTGTAAGAATTGTGCTATACAAATAAACTTGCCTTGCCTTGCCTAAATGAAGTTCCTCACGGATTAATAAAGTTATTTTGATTTGATTTGAGAGCTCATAACTATGTCTCTCATCTCAGCTCAGCCCAAAGTATCAAATAGTGACTCACAGGGTTCCACATAACCAGCACCTATGATCTGATAATGCCCATTTTAATTGACCTTTCTGATCTCGCTCTCTGTCTGGTCTCTGTCTCTTTCTCTGGTCTCTCTCTTCAGTCTCCCTCACTCTCTCTGGTCTCTCTCTTCAGTCTCCCTCACTCTCTCTGGTCTCTCTCTTCAGTCTCCCTCACTCTCTCTGGTCTCTCTCTTCAGTCTCCCTCACTCTCTCTGGTCTCTCTCTTCAGTCTCCCTCACTCTCTCTGGTCTCTCTCTTCAGTCTCCCTCACTCTCTCTGGTCTCTCTCTTCAGTCTCCCTCACTCTCTCTGGTCTCTCTCTTCAGTCTCCCTCACTCTCTCTGGTCTCTCTCTTCAGTCTCCCTCACTCTCTCTGGTCTCTCTCTTCAGTCTCCCTCACTCTCTCGGGTCTCTCTCTTCAGTCTCCCTCACTCTCTCGGGTCTCTCTCTTCAGTCTCCCTCACTCTCTCTGGTCTCTCTCTTCAGTCTCCCTCGCTTTCTCTGGTCTCTCTCTTCAGTCTCCCTCGCTCTCTCTGGTCTCTCTCTTCAGTCTCCCTCTCTCTCTCTGGTCTCTCTCTTCAGTCTCCCTCTCTCTCTCTGGTCTCTCTCTTCAGTCTCCCTCACTCTCTCGGGTCTCTCTCTTCAGTCTCCCTCACTCTCTCGGGTCTCTCTCTTCAGTCTCCCTCACTCTCTCTGGTCTCTCTCTTCAGTCTCCCTCGCTTTCTCTGGTCTCTCTCTTCAGTCTCCCTCGCTCTCTCTGGTCTCTCTCTTCAGTCTCCCTCACTCTCTCTCTGGTCTCTCTCTTCAGCCTCCCTCACTCTCTCTGGTCTCTCTCTTCAGCCTCCCTCACTCTCTCTGGTCTCTCTCTTTCATCGTCTCCCTTGCTCTCTCTGGTCTCTCTCTTCAGTCTCCCTCACTCTGTCTGGTCTCTCTCTTCAGTCTCCCTCACTCTCTCTGGTCTCTCTCTTCAGTCTCCCTCACTCTCTCTGGTCTCTCTCTTCAGTCTCCCTCGCTCTCTCTGGTCTCTCTCTTCAGCCTCCCTCGCTCTCTCTGGTCTCTCTCTTCAGTCTCCCTCACTCTCTCTGGTCTCTCTCTTCAGTCTCCCTCACTCTCTCTGGTCTCTCTCTTCAGTCTCCCTCACTCTCTCTGGTATCTCTCTTCAGTCTCCCTCGCTCTCTCTGGTCTCTCTCTTCAGCCTCCCTCGCTCTCTCTGGTCTCTCTCTTCCGTCTCCCTCTCTCTTTCTGGTTTCTCTTGTAACTCTCTTTTTCTCATGCATGTATTTTTGGCTTCTGTCACATCACAGAGAGAACCAGCCTCACCTCTCGGCCCAAAGCCTCAAATAGTGACTCACTAGGCTCTTTATAACAAGTATACCAACAAATAGCATGTTTTCTTTTTTGCAAGTGATGAAGGCACCATCAAAAGACATATTACAGACTTTCTCACTCCGTAAAACTTGGCTAATTTCCAGTTTGAATCTCACTCTTCTGTCACGAGCATAAACACAAATGAATCGCGTGTGTTCATTTGTTTTGCCGTGTCGTATAACTTTACACACAATTGACATCCTGAGCGTCTTAATTCCGCCCGTCTGTTAAACTGTCACACGCTCTGTGAGCTCGCCGCACGCCGGGATCAGGGCCCGATGACGGATGGCGGACATTTCAGCTGCCGACGCTTTGTTTTGCCGATTCCTCTCTCTTTCCTACTGCACTCCAAGCCTTTGATTAATACCGGCCGGAAACGATTGTGAGCAAGACGTATGCGCCGATTCAGCTGCAAAATCATCCCATCATTAGCTGTTAATGACAAGAAGAGGGTGAGGGATGAGGGGAGAGGGTAAAAGATGAGGGGAGAGAGAGAGGGGTGAGGGGAGAGGGTGAGGAGAGAGGGAACCGGCAAAAGAAGACTCTGGAGCACCCACGGGAGCCAACTGCCACCGGCCTACACAGAGGAGACACACACACATACACACAGATATCCACAAATAGACACGAGCACACACACAGACACACACATACAGAGAGACACACGCACAGACATCATACAAACAGAGAGAGGGAGAGAGATAATACACATACGCACACAGAGAGATACACTTCCACATACACACAGAGACACTCACATACATACGCAGAGGCATACATGCAGTACATACACACAAACAAACAGAGAGAGAGAGATACACAGGTAAATGAATACAGTACATACACACAGAGAGAGTGAGACACACACACATACACATACACACAGAGACACTCACATACATACACAGAAGCATGCAAGCATACACACACAGTGACACGCACATACAAAGGCTGCGCTAATGAAGACGGCAATTACGGACTTGTGTGGCTGTCACCGGGGGCGACGGGGTGGGCGTGGCCATAGAGGGGAGGAGGGGGGAGATGACTGAGGAGCCACTTGAGCTCTGTACAGATGTGCTCTCTGCAGACGGAGCGCACACAGGGGGTCCTCCGGACGCTCCAGGTTTGAGATCAATATCAGGCTAAAAGAAGAAATATCAGGCTTTTTTTCTTCATCTCATCAACATATAACACTATGTTCTAGAACATTGGCCTTTGAGCCAGAGGGTCGTGGGTTCGAACCCGACCCTCTGGGGTCACCATCGACTCCCACTGTCTGCTGTTGTTGTGTCCTTGGCAAGACACTTCACCCCCATTGCCTAGAATGAGTCTGATGTGTGTGTGAATGGTTGGTGGTGGTGGGAGGGGCCGATGGCACAGACTGGTTTCCCCCCTTCTGTCAGTGTGCCCCAGGGCAGCTGTGGCTACAGTAGTAGTTTATCACCACCGTGTTTGGAGTGAAAGAATAATGACATGTGAAGCATCTTTGAGTGTCCAAAAAAGCTCTATATAAAACCGATGCATTATTATTATTATTATTATTATTATTATTATTATTATTATTATTATTATTATTATTATTATTAACACATATGATCTACTTCACTTGATCAAATTGATTTATTGGAGGAAAAACAAATGACATGTAAAAATGTTTTAGTGTTTTCTGTTGAGCCTCATAAAATATATTTTTAACTTATGACCCCGTAGTATCATCTATAGTATGTAACTATTTTAAATTAACTGCTTCCCCTCGGAATAAGCTTCACCGGGAAGATTTGCAGGAGGAGAATGGTGAACCAATGAGGAGGGGCCTCTTATTCATTACATCCAATCAGGAAGCTGTGGGGGCGGGGCTAAATAGTCAAAAAAGTAACTGAGCTTCACAATTGCATAAGGAGAGATGGCAGATAAAACAGATGGACAAACACAAATCAGGTTTGAGAGACATAACTCTATGGGGTACCACAAGGGTCAATACTGGGACCCGCACTATTCATACAGTAATGTTACATACTGTACATACATGAAATACACCCTCTTTGTCTTTGATGCTAACGTTATATGAGCTGGTGATGACTCTAATGGTGGAAATTAACACATTCAAAACATATTACGCATTGCCCCGAAAAAACAAAGATTACTGTTTTCATGAACACTAATAAAGGCCCTTGTCTTAATACGTCCTTATGATCCTGTTTGTATATTGTGGTGATAACATTGTTTCTAACAGAGCAGAGCAGGGGCCACAAACAGGAGGGCCTAAACCCAAATATGGCCTGCCTCCACTTTTGGTCCGGCCCCCTGAACAATACCAGAGCATTTAGATTTTTTTGCAAATGTGTATTTGTAATAAAGTTGGACTTTTGCAATAAAAGGTTCCTTAGTTAGTAACTATTTCACACACGCATATAAATAAATAAATAGAAAATATAAATGTATATCTTTATGAATAAATACATGTATAAATAAATGAATAAATATACATGTATTTTTAGATATAAATGTATAAATGAATGTGTATAAATTATTATTTTTTTATTATAAAAATGACAATTGAAAATGTATGTTTATATTTATTTATGTATATATTCAATTTTTGGCAGTTTTGGGATAAAATCCATCTCCACAACTGGTAGTGGTAATGGTTGTGCTGTGTAGGTGCTGTATCACAGTTTCGCAGTTTCTCAGCCTTGGTTGCTTTGTGGTTTTCACAGGAAAGTTGATGAGAGAGAACTGCAAACAACGATGTCTAACCACTGGAACCTGCAAAAGGATTATAAGGAAGGAACACAAGAACTTTGAGAGACTGCTCACACAGAGATTCTGCTCTGACAACTAAGCTGAACTTGGACCTGTTAAGATTGTGCACGGCACAAAAGAAAGTTTATTTTTCTACGAAGAATCCAGAAAGGGTTATTTGATCGTGCTTTCTGGAAAACAATAAGTGTTTACGTTTAGGCAATCCTGCAATCGTCACATTTTTTCTGTTACAAACTGACCTGGCCCCCACCAGAGAAGGGAACAGCTACGTGGCCCTCACAAGAAAAAGTTTGGGGACCTCTGGCCCCCCAAAAAGGTACTATCTTAAACAATGTATCTTTTTCTATTCATCATCATCTTGATGTTAAAGAATTCTATTTCAGCAGCTGTCAATACATCTCAATGGAATGAAGCAGTTTTTGAAAGAATTGTGGAAAAATAAATATTTCTGTTGTTTCTCAGATCAGTATTTGATATTGATTATATTCTATTTCTAATACAATCACCACTTTTAGATAGCTTTATGATAAAATGATAAGACCAGAGAGGTACCAGAGAGAAATCAAGCTGGAAAAGACCAGAAAGAGAGACGAGAGAGAGACCTGCACCTGTTTGTGTTTGTTAAATATTCTAAATGAAAAAATGAATTCAAATGGTAAAACACATAAATTATATATAAGTGTGACAAAAGCAACCTCCAGGGACAGGTTTCAGGTTTGAAATCTCAGGTGAGAAGTGGTAATCCTCTGTAATGTCAGGTTCTTAATAAATCAACATGAGTGACGGCAGAAAACCCCTAAATCGCTGCTACACAGTTTTCGACTCTTTAAATCAGCAGCATACGTGTGACACCCTCTGCCTGGAGCTGATTGACAGGTCTAAGTCCCGCCCACCCCTCTCACATGAACAGTGCTGGTATTAGCATCCACCTTTAACCATTTACCCAGTGCCAAACTCATCTCAGGTACATTTACAGTTTTATTTGTGGCTTACAAATCTGTACATACCATAGATAGACTGTATACAAATAATGCTAACCCGCTAACTCAATAGTTATAGGGAAGTGCTTAAGGTGAAGTTTTGTTCCAACTCACTCTGGCTTCTATTGACTTACTCTGGTTCACAATTTCCAAAATATAAACAACCAGAATCAATCCTATTTATAAATATATATCTCAGAGGACTTTACAAAGTTGTGGATTTGCCAACCACAGATCAGAGAATCATAACAATTCAAACACAGCAAATGCAGTAATAACAAACACATAGAATTGGTCCAGCCATTGCGAGATGACCACTGTCCAGAAATGTTAATAAATGAGCAAAAGTGGATCATAACTGTCCTTAGACCCTCCGGCAAAAGTGAGGAGACACTTATACACCCAGAGGGAGGTCTCGGCGGTGACGAGGGTGCAGCCTGCATGTCCGGGCCGGTGGAGATCATTTCACAGGTGCAGGTCAAAGAGGCCAAGTTCAGTGGTCCCATCATGGTGAGATGAAACAGACAATGGGACAGCAGGGAATAGCAATGAACAGACTACATCAGAAGTCATATACGCAGCGTCACTGACAATCTGCGTTTTTTAGACTTTAGGTTGTATCTTTTAGTCTTACTTGCGAAAAAAAATGCTAAATTCAAGAGGAATGTTTTGAGCCTGGCCTTGAATGTAGAGAAAAGTTTGTCATGGATAAAAAGTGTGTGATTCACAGGGACACAACACACACATAGGTTCTCATAACATTTTCAGTGAGTTTGACTCCAGAGAACTCATTAATGGTTTGTCACATAATTGACACGTCACAGCGACACGACAGCTGTCCCTAAAGCCCGCCCCCTCCTCTCACCTCCCGTTAGCGCCGCCGTTAGCTCGCTCGCGGCTCGTTAGCCCACACGTCGAGACGCATTTAGCCCTAAACTCTGACTGACAGGCTTCATGAGTGGACCGCACAGAACTGTCTCCACACATTAGCCTCTGCGTGCCACGTATTAATAAACCGGAGCCGGCGCTGTCTCCCGGAGAGCATGCGCTTCTGATAATCACATTTGTCTGATTACGCACGGCTGATGGACGAGGAAGCACATGTCCGGAGAGCTGACACAAGGGGGCGCAGTTTACGGGTTAAGTAAAATTATAATCTGAAAATGGTGTAAACAAACACAGGCCGTATTTCATAATTTATGAAAGAGAAAACAATAAATAGTTTTGTGCAGCCGTCAAAAAAATCTATGTTTTGTAAATTCTGGTCTCTCTCTCTGATATCTCTCTGGTCTCTCTCTTATCTTTCTGATCTCCCTCTCTCTGATCTCGATCTCTCTCTCTCTCTGGTCTCTGATCTCTCTCTCTGGTCTCTCTCTTATCTTTCTGATCTCTCTCTCTCTCTCTGGTCTTCCTCTCTAGCTTATACAGGAGTACGCTTATACGCTCCTCTCAGACAGGCCCTGTTCTGATTGGGATTCAAATCCAGGATCTTCTTGCTGAGATGCGAAAAGGATAACCACTCAGCCTCCATGCCCCACATACTGTATAAAAACCTCTTTAAAAGTGGTGGCCGTGTCTTTAAGACTCTGCCAACTCGCAAAACCACAACTAATTTGTCTCTGTTCAGGTTTCGGAGGCGGTCGGCCCGATCAGAGACGACTCGTGTTCACAAAGAGCCCTTGTCCGTCCACCAAAGCGAACGATTATGAGGGAGTCGTATAAATATTGTCTCGCCGCACTCCTGAGACGCCGCCGCCGTTAGCTTTGGGGCTGTGAGTCATCAGCAGCAGCGTGTGATTAGAGCCCGCCCTGCCCTGTCATTTCACTGCTTTATTGTCTTTAAAAGAGAAAGTGCAGACAGCTTTATGGGAGAGGTGGAATTAACCTATGCCACACGCAGGTATATGTCTGTTCTTCTGTTCATACAGCTTCATGCAGCTTCGAGAGATCAGAGAGAGACCAGAGAGAGACCAGAGAGAGACCAGAGAGAGACCAAAGAGAGACCAGAGAGAGACCAGAGAGAGACCAGAGAGAGACCAGAGAGAGACTAGAGAGAGAAACCTGTGAGCGAGATCAGAGATAGACCAGAGTGAGAGCAGAGAGAGACTAGAGAAAGACCACAGAGAGACCAGAGAGAGACTAGAGAAAGACCAGAGGGAGTCTAGCAAGAGAGCAGAGAGAGACCAGAGAGAGGCAAAAGAGAGAGACTGGAGAGAAAGTGAAAACTCTTAGTGGGTTTGTGCAGCCGTTTATTGTCAAATCAATATGTTTTGTACATTCTGGTGTCTCTCTGGTATCTCTCTGGTCTCTCTCTTTGGGTTCTCTCTGGTCTTTGGTCTCTCTGGTATTTGAGAGTGAGACCAGAGAGAGAGACCAAAGTAGACCAGAGTAAGACCAGAGTAAGAGCAGAGGGAGACCGGAGACTTGAACAAATAAAACTCAACAAGCCAAGGTAAAACAGCCTTTTGTGTGCACTGTCAAATTTGTGCACCTTTTCTATTCAATCGCAGAACATACTTTTTGGTTTTTGGCCAATGTTTCCGATTTTTATTTAAAAAGTACTCGACCAACTTCTCAAGGACTAGCACAAGGCTGAAGCAAATCATGAAAATGGTGTTTTGTGCAAAGTTAGTCCAGGAGAGAATTATATTTCCCTTGTTCCATGTTTCACAAAGCATCTCTTTACAAATCCAGCTGTTCCCAAAAATATTATAATTTACAGACTTTTAGTTTTAGCTGCTTTGTTTGACTTGGTAAGAAATCCATAGTAGAGAGAGACCAGGAAGATAGATGAGGGAGAGTGACCAGAGAGAGACTAGAGAGACAAGAAAGAGAAGAGGGAGAGTGACCAGGGAGAGACCAGACCAGAGAGAGACCAGAGAGAGAGACCGGAAAGAGAGACGACGGAGAGACCACAGAGAGAGAGAGACCGGAAAGAGAGACGAGGGAGAGACCACAGAGAGAGAGACCAGAAAGAGGTCAGAGAGAGACCAGCGTGAGAACAAAGTTAAACTAGAAATCAGAGAGAGGGACCAGAGAGAGAAAGACTGGGGAAAGAACAGAGTGAGACCAGAAAGAATTTCAAGAATTTCCTGGGATATAATTGCAATGTTTGCAATTATATTGGATTTTTTCTCTTGAAAGGAATATCTCTGTCTGAACTCGTCCATAATTGTTTTTTTTTCCTTTATATATTAATTCAATGTGACTTGCACTGATGATGTTACTTTAAAATAAATGATCAAAAACAAACAAAATCAATAAATAAAGGGGAAGTGGACTCATATTAAAGCTTGGGTACATAAATGTCACAAGTTCTTCACTCTTAATTTTTTTTTATCTGGTTTTCATTTGTGTTATATCTTTGTTACATCTTTCGATTAGCTCATTCAGGCAGAAAAGTGAAAAGATATACAATTATTATAAAGTTATGATCACTTAGAATTGGTATAAAAGTGAGGTACCCCAGCTTTAAATCTTATAGAAGTACATTACATGTGTTGGTATGCGTCCACTGTGTATCCATCTCTGGTGCACGCCTCTTTGGTCCCTCTTGCGGCCACATCACGTACTGCAGCTGCTCGCTTCCAAACTCGTGCGTAATGAGGCTGCGTTTGTGGAACTTTTCGCCCCTCCAGAGACCACTGTCTTCACCGTGCGTTCTCTCCCTTTCCTTCTTGTTTTAAAGCAGAATTCATCTTGTTTTGTTCTTTGTATTGCTCTCTCTCTCCCTCTCTCTCTCATGTATTTTCCCGTGGAGGATGTGGAGGTGGCTGCTTGTATAAAGCCTCATTCATCCTCTCGCTGTTTCTGCTGCATATATTTTCACCTTAAAGTTGTCTAATTATTCTTCTATAGTTTTTTGAATATGCAAAACACAACTGGACTCCGCCCAGGCATTTAAGGTAGTGTCTATTATTATACACAACTCAACATCTTAGTTCTGTTCATTTACTTTTGAGTGTATTTCCTGAAAGAAAATATTATGCCATCATCATAATTAAAAAACGGAAAGAATGCCTTGTATTTTACCACTGTCTATGTTTATTTCAATGTCCAAAACGGTCTCATATTTGTGAACGGTATGCGCGATCATTTTAATGCAAAGAAACAGCGCCGAATATAGTGAAATGAGTTTTAAATAAAGCAGATCGGACCTGACCAGTGGAATTGAAAGCATTTTTGATGTTTTGAAATGTATACAGTTAATTGTCTTTGTCTCTAATTAACACGTGTCTTGACCCCATTGATTGACCCTTTGGAGCTCAAAGTCAGCTTATAATAAAAACAGAGATTTGTAATAACCCTGTTTTTAACCTGCACATAGACATTTGCTTCCCGCAGTTGCTATGAATAATGTTTTGTGAATACGTTTATAGCGCGTAAAAGTCGCCAACGCGTTCATTTCAAACATTGAAGTAAAAAACAGCTGCTTAAATATTATCAAAAACATTCCAACAGTTCAGTCGGCGTCAAATCCAGCTGCTTCATATCTGTAGATAATGTCAAAGGTATAAAGCCTATTCCCCCCGTGCGCAAAAGTACGAGTCCTCTCCATCCGCTCCTCTCGCATTCCCACACACATCTGGATTACCTGTGGGCTCACGCACGCGCAAAGCACTTGTCAATCACGCGTGCACGAATTCAGGGGGAGGGAGGAAGACATATGGACAAAAAACACCTCTCTTTACAAAGTCTCTGCGCGCGGAGACGGACGAGATGTTGTTTTTCCCCGAGTTATTTTTGTCCGAGCGCGCGTAAACATTGAGGTCTGTGTTTGAATAAATCCATTGTGTTTACTCTTAAAGTAGTAGTTTAGATTCAAGAATGTATTAAAATGTTGTTGTGTGTTCACAGTTAAGTGTATACAAGAGAGAGACCAGAGAGATGCAGTGAGAGAGACCAGAGAGAGGCCAGAGATAACAGAGAAAGAGAAAAGAGAAACCAGGGAGAGAGACCAGAGAAAGAGAAAAGAGAGAGACGATAAAAGACAAGGGAGAGATCAGAGAGAGACCTTTGGCAGACTATTGAGAGAGACCAGAGAGAGACTGCAGAGAGAAGAGACTGCAGAAATAACAGAGAGAGACACCAGAGAGACCAGAGAGAGAGGACGCGATGCTCCCTGAGTTTTTATTTTTATCCGAGCGCACTTAAACACTGAGGTCTGTGTTCTGCGGAGAAGATAACTTTGAGTAAAGCCGAGTATGAGCCGTGACGCGCGCTCCGTGTCTCCATTTGGAATCAAACTGTTGAAAATGAGCCTTTACGCACGGCTTGCTCCCAACATTTCCACCGCGTCGTTTTCTTGTGTCGTTCTCACGGCATGCAGCAACTAAACACGAATTATTTATATACCTTATTTGTTCAGGTGTTTTTAAAAAAGCTGTTTGCGTGATAGATATGTTTATAGACTGAACAGAAATATAGGCATTGGATGAAATTTTCCTTATGTTAGCTTAAAACAGATCTGTTTAGCTGTGCTTACAACTGAAGGATGAAGGGGATTATTTTTTATTTTAATGTTTCTTATCTTGTTTTGCTTGCCTTGTGAATGGACTGTGCTATATATAAAATAAATATGCGTTGCTTTATGCAAAGATGCAAAGGTCAAGCTCAATTTCCCATGACTTGCAATGATTATATCCACAAACTAAATGTGACAATTAGAAATGTGTTTAAAAAATTACATAAATGACTGTTTTTGCCGACGTTATATTCATTGCATTTTTGAGACGTTTGATAAGATTCAAATGTATGTGTTTAAAATGTGGGGTCCGTGCGTAAAATACGAACAGGAAACAGAAAGAGACACTCGTACTGAGAGCCCTATTTTAAAAGTGTGTATTTTTTCAGAGTCAAATGGGAAGATGCATCTTTACGTGCGTAACGTCTCAATAAGCGCAATAATAACGGGTTTAATGATTCTATATGCTTTGCTTATAACTGCGGGAGCTCTGTTTAAATTTGAATTATGTGCAAACAGACGAACAGACTGCAGCGCGTGCTCGTGCCGCGGCCGCGCGCGTATCCAAATCCAGTCTGTGTGCGTGCGTGGGAGTGCGTGATCGGGGACTGCTCATGTCTTCGTCTGCTCCCGTGATATTGGGATGTGTTTAACCTTGTGAGAATATTATTACAGCGTTAAGACGTCGCTCTTTCAATTGATAGATACTGGAAAAATGAATATATGTCCAAATATGTGGGATGTTTATGTGTTTTTCTTATATTTGATCTTATAACTTGGAGCTTCTTTGTCCATCACAACATTTCCCCCCGAGTAGAACCTGATCTCACGATTGTTCTGAACCCAAACGCTCTTCTTGTTCTCGGGTATGACGGCCAGAAACAAACATGGCGACGAGTTAAACTTGAGTTATGATTATGTATTTGCATCTTTCACATATGGAATAATAGAAAGTTTATAATTCTGTCAATACATGTCCCAGTGAAGATGGACAGCGGTGATCCAGGACATTTCTCCACATTTATGAACATTCCTGGACAGTGGTCATCTCGCTCATGGACCAATGGCTCCTGTTTGTTATTGTTGCATTTATTCCAACTGTTTGATTCTCTGATCTGTTGTTGAGAAACCCACAACTTGTAAAGTCCTCCGAGACGACTGCTTTTGTGATTTAGGGCGATATACAAATACGTTAGATTGAATTGAATAGATGCAGAGGGTAATAGTCTGAGTGAGGCCTTCAGACCTCGGCCCGGGACCTGCTCTTTTGCGCGCGTCCCCGTGTGACTGCTGCTCTTGTGACCGCGCGGAACTGATTCAAGATGGAAATGAATGAGCTGATTGTGGCACTTGAGGAGCGTGCTCGTGTCTCTAGAGAGAGAGCGTGCGCGGGTGTGTGTATGATGTTTGTATGTGTGTGTGTTTACGCGCGTGTTTGTGCGTGCGTGTGTTGTCTGATTTTCCTGTTATTGTGAATAAAAGCATGGTGTATAAAGCCGCGTCTCCTCTGGCTGCGGGTGTGTGTATGAGCACGCGCACGTGTGTGAGTTTTTGCACGCTTGGGTCTGTGTGCGCGTGTCAAACGTGAGGATGTGATCACATCTGCACCTGTCGTTTGTCTTGTCAGAGTGTGAACTTTGGAAACGTAACAATCGCTTGTCTTCCCTCTCTTGCCCCTGCTGTGCGCGCACACCTGCAGCTGGCCCCTGACCAGTGCCCCGCGTGCGCGCGTCCAGGGGTCAGGGAGCGCGTGCAGAGGTCTTGTCTGTCTGCAGCTGTGAGCGTGTGCATTCATCCAGAATAAAGTACTTTTACACCTCCGCACGAGTGACTGTAACGTCATTATGTGACGTTTACTCCAACCTTATACTCTGTTGTGTGAGAATAAAGAACCCGAAATCCCACGTGCGTGCGCGCGTGTACGTGACATCTCACTGTGAAGTTTCCGGACATTAGGTTTAGGTTTAATGAGACACAAGGAGAGTTAGTCTTTGTTCTATTGACAGGTCCAGGGTCTCATGTCTGGTCCTAGGTGCACGTGCAAAAGACTGGTTTTCACAGAGAAGGATGGATTTGATAAAGACCTTCACCTCTTCGAAAACACAGACATAAGAAACAAGACTGTGACCTGAACACAAGTTGCAGTGAGGACATTGTAGTGTAACAATAACGCAACTGTATTTGAAAGACTCTACATCAGTGTTTATACTGATTATTAGGAATCACACTTTGAACAAGTCTCCTCTTCCTTCTTCCCTGTTTGTCTTGTATCAGCGTGGCTTTATCGTATGGCGCGCGCCCTAACTCCTCCGCGTGCACAGGAGTGTGAATGCGCGTGCGTGAGAGTCCCCTGAGAGCGCGCGTCAGAGAGGAGCGCCTGTAAAAACCAAAGTGGGGCAACGAGACAAGCTGCAGCAGCTGGCAAATCATCTCCGCTCCATCCGCGGGAGAGGGAGGGGCACGCGTTACCTGCCGCCCCCTCAGAGCAGCCTCCACACTCCGCGCTCTGGATCCTCTCTCCACTTCTCCACTTCTGCTCTTCTCCTCTTCTCCACTTCTCCTCGCGCTCCCTGCTCTCCGGACCCACGCTGCACGTTCACGCCGCACGCACGCACGCTCTCGGGGACTCGCGGACAGAGGTTCAACTTTTGATGGAAGAGGACCGGACCGCCCTGCGTTGACAACCCGGTAGGACTCTCTCTTCCCCTGCGTGTCTGTGACCCGTGCACGGAGCCGGTCTGACTTCATTCTTTCTCACTTTAATAACTGAGCACAACAGAGTGTAACCACACAGTGAGCAGAGCGCAAACACGCACCAACAGTGAACCAGAACAGGAACAGGAACACTTCACGCACAGACATATCACCAGCTTCTCTCAAGCGCGACTTCAACCTCAACTTTTGACAGCTTCTGCGCGGACCCCCTGATGAGCTCTGACCCCACAGCGCGCCTCCGTATCTGTCTGAGTGACGTGATGCTGGACGTGACTGTGCAAAGCAGGTGTGCGTCTCAACGAGGCGTAATTTGGATGGATAGTCAGGGTAATTTGGACGTAGTCACTTTGCCAGAGCGTTGAACTCATGAATAGCGAGTTGATTTCTTCGTGATCCAGTGATGGAGATTTGACAACTTCCCGCTACATTTAGATCTGCTTTTTTGGGCAGATAAACAAGTATTTTCAAACTCTCTTGTCAGCCTGCCTTCATCTATTAATACACGAAATGCCAGAGCGTGCGGAAAAGCCGAAGCCATTCCAATTTGTGCAGAAAAGTATTTTAAAAACAACTCCGCTGTTGGCTAAATGCGCTTCTCTCGGCTCTTCTCTCTGCTCTCTCCTCATCTGGCACAAACTCCGTTCGCGGCACACTTCGCAAACCACAATTAGATTAACTGTTTAAAAAAAAAAAGTTTCTAGAAATTACGCACGGCTTATACCTGCTCCCAAATCCCTCCTTGTAACCACAAGCCAAGCCAAGTATGATCCACACAGACACATCCAAGGTATTGACTTAGCAGTGAGATTTCAGATCAAACTCGCACTAAAGCTTTCTAAACCGCTGACTTGTCTATTAACCAGCCCAATCTCCTTTTAGTATTTTTATTCGGCCATTAGCTCCGCTTCATTTCTATCCCCATATATTTACCGTTTAATTACGCGTTGAGTCTGAGAGAGACTTTTAGATAGAGGGGAGAGAGGAAAAGGCGAGAGAAGTGGTGCTGCTGATGCCAAATACTTTAGTTCTGGCGGTGGTTTAATTGCGCAGGTGTTTCTGACTTTAATATATAATTATCGATATAGTTATGAATAGTTAATTTGCTAAAAACAGATGTCTCTGTTTTGAAATGGTTGTTTTCCTCGAGCTACAATCTACATGTTTTGTTATTGGCAAAACATGTGAAAGAATTGGCTCAAGAAGGAGTGACATGTCATGGCACTAAAACATACGTGGCTTTTCTCAAAACTTTAAGTCTTTTCCATTTATTTCTAATGTCACTTTTCTGTTTTTTGCAAAATAACTCATTAACTATTTGTATGTAGCAAAACGCGTCTCACCGGTTTTAAGGCACGTCTATAGTTGCAAGACGAAGAGCCAACAAAGCAAAACATATCTGGATTGGAATGAGAAATAATGTATAGATAATGGTCCGGAGCGAATTATGAAAGTGAAGCGATAAAGATTTAGCACGAAAACAAGACCGCGCGAGTCACACACTTGAAATGATGAACGAAACGTATTGAAATTCACATATTTCTGGCTAATAATTGCGCGTAAAGTTGAGGCATATTCGCGCGGAACAGCAAATCCCCCAGTGCCAAAGTTAAAGTTGTGTTCCGAGTTTAAAGTTGAAAGTAAAAAAGGTCAAATATTCAATTCATATATTTGTGACAGCAGTCGTCTTGGAGGACTTTACAAAGTTGATTTGCCAACAACAGATCAGAGAATCAAACTCTAAAACAATAATAACAAACACTATAGGAGCCGGTGGCCCATGGGGGAAACAATGACCAAAGTGTATCAATGTTTATAAATGTCCATAAATGTCCCACTGTCCTAGACCCTCCCGCGTCGATAAATTAGAAGTAATATAAGTAAATACAAGATTACAGATTTGACGGGAGCATTACGCGCGAGGCACCATCGTTATATTCTGGACTTTTACGCACGGACTAAAATATAGCTTTAAGACGAACTGAGAATGTTTGAGGACACAAAGCTTTAGCTCATACTGCACAGAATATGAAAATACAGTATCTGGATTTGTAGCTGATTTGCCTTTGTTAGTAAATTATTTCCAAATGGCAGAAGATCAATTTTGCATACACCTCAAGGTTCCCTGTCACATGTTATTGTGAGATATGAGCCGACACACACACACACATATATATATATAATATCTATGTATCTGTTTGTAGTCATTTAACCTGCCCTATTGATTGAGTATATCACCTGGAAAGTCATCATCGTTCCAATTCATTAGATCAGGGTTAAGGTCTCTATCTGGAAGGGTTTACAACTGATTTGTGGAATACACGTTTCCAAGTGCTGTGTTTTTCAGTTTGTCTTGAGTAAAATCCATGATAGTTTTTACTTTTGAGAAATGAGTGTTCGAGATCTGCGTGGACTGTGTAAAAATGAGAATATATGATTCATCGGCAGTGATTGCAGTGATTTTTAAACTGACAAAAATCACTGCATTTCTTCATAATGTGCATAAATGTCTTTGACTTTTGACTTGAGAAATGAACAGGACTGATGCAGGCATGCGCTTGTTTTTGCACAGTGTTGTCGTGTGCAAAGAAGTGAGAATAGATCCAAAATAGACACCTTTTGTGCAGCGCAAAAGGTGTCAAAAGTTGTGGATCGATTTGCTTTTGTGGCTGAGAATGTTGTGATAAAAGAGTCGTATTTAAAATGGACTGAAACGACAAGCACATTTCTTTAGCTAAACTACTTTTATAATTACTATTATTTGGGAACAAAACCTTGCAGGGCATTATAAATTACATAGACTTATTTATAGCCTGAGTCCTGGATCTACAGCCTCAATCCTGACTTTTCCGAGGTTTTTCACTTTTAGGTTTTAAGGACATTTATTCAAATTTTGGACAATATTCATTCCGCTCCCTGTGGATCAATGGCTTCCATGTGTTTGTTTAAAATTGCATTATTTGGTTCTCTGATCTGTCGTTAAGGAATCGACAACTTTGTAAAGTCCCCCGAGATCACTGCTGTCGTGATTCAGGGCGATACACAAATACATCGAATTGAATTGAAGATTATTTGAATACAGTGATAAAGAAAGGCTTTTGTAGTGAAAAAACAAGTTTGTGTAAAAATACTTTGACCCAGCTGAACTCCACACTCCCACCGGTTTGAACCTTTGTGACGCGATGTGGAAAATGTTTATTCAGTGGTTTGCGGTTGGAAAAAAGTCTAAAGTTGCGTGAAAGTGTAGACAGTTATGGTTTTGTGTTTTTGAAAGTATAAATACATGATTTTTCTGCTGAGAGATGTTTTGTGTTTGGCAGAAACCGTTTTCTCTCATGTTTACGCTGCCGGAAACTCACTTAAAAACATTTGAATTGACCATTTTGAAATCATTTTGAGGATTCGGTTTAATTCAGTTAAATTTGACTCAAAATAGGAAGATTAAATAGGCAGGCAAATATGAAGTACAATAATATAAGTTCTGAATGTAAACCTTAACTATACTTTTAATTCTTATTACTATTATGAATACAAGAAATATTGTGTCGAATAATATTCAGAACATTTATGACAATTGTGTCACTTTTTGCACTCAAATCCGCAATTATAAGAAATGTGATTTTTGTATGTTCTTGTATGCTGCTGTGAGTCATGTGTGTGTGTGTGTGTGTGTGCATGGGTTTGTGTGTGTGTGTGTGTGGGTTTGTGTGTGTTTTAAATATAGAATGGATTTTTTACATAAAACTAATGCGTTCGACTCAAACTGCAAGTAGTTTGTTATAATGTTAATTGTTATCATGTTTAACCCAATGACTGTTTTCACTGACCTTCACATGACACAGCGGGAAATAGAAAAACAACAAAACGAAAATTTTCAAAATGGAGAAATTATTTGTGAAATTCAAGACCCTGTAATCCATATAATATGTTTGCAGTTTGTCAAAAATACGATTGTTCAACTAGACTACAAATGTAAATACTTTCAGCCTGTTCAGCCTCAGTCCTGGATCGATGGCCTCTCTGCCTCAGTCAAAATGCCCTCCCCGAGGTTTCTCTTTTTTCCCACTGGGTTTCTGAGTGGTCCTTTGCCGATGCAGGAGAGTCTAAGGATAATCATGATCCAGGACATTTCTGGACAGTGGTCAGCCTGCTCCCCATGAACCAATGGCTCCTATGTGTTTGTTATGATTGCATTTAATGTGTTCGAACTGTTTGATTCTCTGATCTGTTCTTCGCGAATCCAAAACTTTGTAAAGTCCTCCGAGACGCCTGCTGTTGTGATATAGGGCGAAAAACAAACACATTGAATTGAATTAACATGAAGACGTTCTATACTACTCATTGTAAATTGCATCAAGCCGCGCGTTGAAACAGTCGACCGTCATTTCCCACTTCCACCAGTAGATGGGAGTCTTTTACTGTAGCAGATCCATCGTACATATATATATATATAGTTAAATTGTTATTATTGCTTGAGTTATACCAAGCAATAATTTCACATTCTAAAACACAATGGTCCAATGTAATGATGCCTAAGATCTCAATTAAGGGCTAAAGTTGAACACACAAAAACTTCTATATTTTTGTGTTCTTTAAGTCTATCTCAGACCCTGGCGCAAAACCCAGGCCTCACAAGACTTCAGTAGCTGCCCCTTGCGTGCCCCTTGCGTGGTTGGTGTGATATTAGTGTGATCGTTGAGCCCTCGCGGTTGCCTGTATGACGGGTGGTGGTCCGTATTCAGGTCAGTCTATAGGTGGAGGCCGCCTGGGCACATGAGAACCAGGTTAGGGCCTTCTGTGGTGCGCTGAGGCTGCTGTTGCTCTGCTTCCTGCCCGGTGCCACGTTCATTGCAAAAACAAGAGACGGAGAAGCAGGTCGTGCGGTGAGAGAACTGTGTGTGAGAGAGAAGTGTTGAATGCTTTTGATATCAGGACATTCAGACATTCTGCCTGCTGCAAAACCCAATTGTTGAACCTTGTTGACTTGGATAGAATGGATTTTGTTTTCTGGACTTGAATACACGTTACATTTTCCG